AGTCTGGTCAGAGGAGACCAACGTTTAGTTATTTGGATTTCTTGCCCTAAAAATTATTTATGTACAAGTTTATTCTCTTAAAAATCCATTAGCATGCCGTTAACCAGGGTGTCCACAGTCTTCACAGTTAAATAAGTCAAATATTGACCAGAATTAATACTAAGTGTATTTTGGTATCCAAACTCTTGTGGTCTGGTGTATGTAACTCGATAAAGAGCAAGAGAAATCAGGGTGTGTGTGTGTATGTATGCGAGAATCGGCACTTGTGCCCTGTCCAAAACCCACTTCGCTTTGAATGACACTTTGGCGATGCCCCCAGCTCCCAACTTCGACTTCTCAAGCGCAGTCCCCTGTCAGTGCCAGCTCTGCCAATTCCTCTCATGTCTTTAATATCTCTCTTTGGGCCTTCAGGTTTTGCCAGTGAAGGCTCCCCCTTTGACAGTTGGACATCGCCGTCACATTCGGGAGACAGCGGTGGGTGTTTGCAGGGTTCCCAGCCCTCTGGGCCTGCGGGGAATCTGTGATGGCTCGCCTGTCAGCCGGCCCCTCCCCTGTAATTAGGAGAGTAAACACAGCGTCTGGCTCTGCTTGGGGGATAAGAGGGAGGGAGCAGAGGAGGGGACAGTCCGGCTCCTGTCCTGTTGCTAACTTGAGCTGTCCAGGAGCAGATTTGGACAGACAGAGCATCATATCCATCCTGTCAAACCTCAGAGAAAAGGGATGAGATGTGGAGAAGCTGCTAAATGTATCCATACTCATGATATTAATATACTGGGATTTTTTGTGATAGATTATCACAAACTGTGGAAATACAAGAAGAAATGGCTATAAATTAAAACCTGTGCAACCAGTTGACTTCATCCAGACAGCTGTGCATTCATTCATCCATTTTCTCTCAGTCATCAGAGATTAGGTTCTTGGGGTAACAGGTCCAGAAAGGCAATCCAGACATCTTTCTCAGCTTCACTTATTCTGGGGGAACCCAAAGTTTTCCTTGCCTCGAAGGGAGATACAATCCCTTTATCAGGTTCCCGACTGGGACCTCCTCCAATCAGAGGAATGGGTTTCAACAAACTATTGACTGACGGAAGCCAAGTACATAAAAAACAAAACAAAAACATTTTTAAAGATGAAGTATCATTTTCCTTTCCTGAACAAACATTTGCTACTTTGTGTGGGTCTATCCTACAAATACATACAAGTTTGCTGTTGTTAGCTCGTTAGAATATTAAGGGACACCATTGTTCTCTTTCATGTGTTATATCACATTAACTCATTTTCAAAGAGTAAAAAGAAATAATAAAAAAAGTAAAACAGTGGAGACTGTGTGAATGACAACTTTCTGTCAGAGTTTGTTGTCAGAGTTTGTTGTGATCTTAAGCAGTATAGGACTCCAGCTGGTTAAATAAAAACAGCCACTCAGCCTTCCTCTCTCATTCCTTCACCTCTCTCCTGGTTGCTGGGGGGACTGGTTAGTGGCTACAGGAATGTGTTGAGGGTTGCTGTAGAGGCTGTAGCTCTGGACCTGCTTTGGAGAGGAGGCGGGGGCAACGTCCCACCCTACCCGAGCCACTGTACTCTGCCCAGGCGGGGAGGAGGGCCGCGGGAATGCTGAGACCAGGAGGGGAAGAATTTCACCAGAGGACCTGCCAGAGAAATGTCATGCAGCGAGCAATGAAGAGAGCAACCTAGACAGAGAGCAGGAGGAACACAGGCCTCAGCCAAGTGAAACGCAGCCTGTCAGTGTCATTTTAGGTTCGCAGGATACTTACTGATGATGCGCCAGTAGCTGGTGGCCTCACAGACACCGTGGCACCAATTCTGACTCGGATCTTTCTCCACCTCATCAACGTTCTGAAAGAACAAATTTGACTTCTAATGCATCTGCCCTGCTTCCTTCTCATGTCTAACCCAGAATATTGATGTGTGAGTTTTGCAATCAGATGGTGGGCATCGGTGTGAGGCACAGAGTACAAAGGGAGGCTCGGTCGAAGGCCTCAGCCCACTTGCCAAAGTCTTTATGGCACCCAGAGAGCCATGCTGCAGCATCATGGTCCACAGCATGGAAAGACATGGGGCAGATGGGTGCAGTGCAGCAGCTCAACCTTATCCCTTTCTTCTCCAAAATGTAAGTAAACAGTGGTGGGAATGGCACAGTGTGAGAGGGTTCACGGCTGAAGCAGAAAAGCTGTTGGAGGAGCATTTGGGGGGCTGGGAGATAGAGTGGGAGTAAGAAACTGTTTGAGGTGATGGTGGAGGGGAGTCTTTGGGATCCTGTAAAGACGAGGGAAAGCCAGTCCCCCCTTCCCCCCAATCACATCTCTTTGAAACCCAAGAGCAGGGGCACGAGCCCAGCGAGGAGTGGCAGTGTGGCCCAGCGCCTGGGCAGACAGGCAGTCACCGTGCTGGGCTACCGTCCAGCTAGCCTCTCCTGGCCCCTTCCAACTCAAGCCCACCCCGTCTGTCCCAGGCTTATGGGAGTCAGGCAGCTGACCCCCAGCGAACACACCGAAGCGCCGTCTCATATCCTCGGTTGAGTTTGAAACAGCGGCAGTGTCCCCCCGGGAGAGAAGCCCTGCAGGGATGAGAGGGGGTTGCTTCCCCTGCGCTCAGGCCTCTGGATGACGGCCCGAAGTGGTCTGCTGCTGACGATAACCCCCACCTCACCATCAGGCCGTTCTGCCTTCAAGGCCTGTGCAGGTCCACACATCCCCATGGCAACAGTGGCAAGGCCGTCCACACAATGTGAGTGGGCATTGAGCCAAGTGATGCCAAACTGGGATGAGGGAGAGAGATTTTGAGAGAATGCTCAGTCCAGAACCTTTTCACCTTTGTTTTGTCTCAAAGGTAATCTTGTTTTTGGCTCCAGTGATTTAATATCACAGACCTGATCAGGACTGTCATTGAACATTGGTCAGAAGAGACCTTTGTGATGTTCTCCAGCACTGCTGCATGTCTCTTAAACACCAGCAACTCTCTTTGCTATCTAAAAATGTGACAGACAGCTAAAAACTACACCCTGAATAGGAACTGGACTGATACCCCCCCGAGTTCTTAGTTGTGTGTTTAAAGAGACGTCGTCACGGAAATATTAAGCTGGCGTAAACGCAAGTAGTTTGATGACATTCACAACAAGCAACTAAAGTTGGTTGCCCACCCCCTCTAAGCCACCAGTAAGACACTGTATATGAGGGGATGGATGGTGTTTACTGAGAGGGGATATCTGCTGTTTGTTTTGTTGCTCTGCTTTCCGACCGTTAACACGACACAGATTTCCTTGAGTGCTGTTTGAAGCGCGTATGCGTGCGTGCCATGTGCTATATTTGCTGATAACAGGATTTGCTCGAGTTGTAACTCACCAGTTGAGGAAGGTTAATTGTCAGCGAGAGTAGTAGAATGGCTACATGCAGTAATTATTAGTCTAAGTTGCTTTATTATTTAATGGTGCTAATTAGGCATTAACAGTGCTCTTCTTTTTGGATCACAACTTCAAATGCATGTCAAATTGCATGAAGTTCACTCTGACATCCATTAGTGGAACGAAGGGAGTGGTGTTTTGTAGATGTCCTTTGCCTGTTCATTATTATGAAACGGATCTGTTCTCAAGGTATTGATCAGAAAACTAGCAGTGGGGATTTTCAGAAATGGCTCATTTAAGTGCATCCTTATTTAGAACAATACATTTCATGGTTGGCAATTTTCTTTTGTTTGTTTCCAGGACAAGATGTGAGCAAAAAAAACAAAAAACAAAAAAAAAACAACATTTATGTTACATCCACAGACATCAGTGTATTATATTGGGATTCAATGTTATAAATCAATGTAAACCATCGATTAACTGTGAAGTGTGTTTTTTTTTCTTTCTGCAAGCAGAAATCTAAAAAGTGTGGCATAAATTCTCAATCGGTCCCTTTTACTCTCATGTGCTTAAATAAAATTGCCTAATTGTAATATAAGCACGAGGAATGTAGTAAAATTATAGCATATAAGGTTCCAAAAGGTTTGCTAGAGAACATTAGTGAAGAAATGACATCATCACGAACACCAAGGAAGACAACAGGCAGACAGGGAGGAGAACGTTTAGAGCAAAGTGGAGTTATACAGCAATATCTCAAGTTCCGAATATCTCAGTGTTCAATTGATCATCTGTAGATGAAAAGAGCATGGGAAAACTGGAAACCCACCGAGACATGAATGAGGAGATATCTGCTGTTTGTTTTGTTGCTCTGCAAGAGGAGCAGCAAACAAAGAAGCATCCAATAACCTGGTGGTAACTCTGCAGGAGCGACCACAGCTCAGGCTCGTTGGCATGTTGTTACTGGAGTTAACAGCACAGCTATTGGTCATAGACATCATAAATCTCACCTTAGTAAAAGAGATGGGAAAAAATACTTTTAGACAGTGGTTTAAGAAAACATGCTCACAGTTTGCCAGAAGCCATATAGGAGATGTAATTAAGACCATGGTGCTCTGATCAGGCAGGACTAAAACTGAACTTTTTAGTGAGCATGCAAAGGGTCATGAGTGGCAAAGAAAAAAAAAAAAGAAATCCTCTGGTAAAACATGGGGATGCTTTTCTTCAGCAGGGGCAAGGAAGCAGAGCTACTTTGAAGGTGGATGGAGTTAAGTACAGGATAACCCTGGAAAAAAATGTGTGAGACATGAAATCGGGTCAGATGTTTACCCTAAACTTAAAGGAAACGCTATTAGGGAACGGTTTAGGTAAAGAGCCTTCATATGCGCTATAATGGTCTAGTTAAAGTCCAGACATAAATCAAATTGAGAATCTGTGGTAGGTCTTGTAAAATGATCTTCACAGATTTCACTTCACAATTATAGACTACTTTATGTTGGTCTATTCCTTTAAAATCCTAATGAAATGCGAAAAATATGAACCCTGTAAGAATTGTTTCTCAGTTGGACCACTAAGTGGTGTATGATTTGTTTTGAGGTGCACCCATGCAGATAAGACTGGCATGAATCTGGCATAGAGGTGAGGGGGAAAGTGACAAGGAAAGAAAGCAAGAGATCAAGGCATGACTGCCAGTGCATGTCATTGCCCTACACCCTCATCAAATAGCCCCGTGCTGCTTACGCTGCTGACCAGACGCAAATTAATTTGGACGCCTGAAAAGACCGCAGAGCCCGGGACTCATCTCTGCCCTTTAAAAGAGAAAAGACACCAGCAGAGAGCACTCTTCCAACAAGGGGTGGGGATGGGGGCCAAGCAGAGAGGTTTTGATGGGTTTCAGTGGAGGGCAGCACAGTGTCTAGAATAAGATGGGAGGGTACGGAGGACACGGTTGAAAATGCTTGTCCTGCTATGATGACAAGATGGCTCAGCCACCACTGTGCTGCTGGCCTTCCCCTGCTCTTCCCTCGCTGGTGCTCCCCCTCAGGTTACCACAGAGGGAAGAAAGGGGCAGTTGAGGCGGGAGGTGGAGGACCTGGTGGTTAGCTGCCGTTTAATCTTCGCCTTGGCTCACTGGAGATTCTTTCACTACAAGCCCCACTCCCTCCTCTTCCCAAATCTTCACCTGATCATCCTTGGGTCTGCTTTACGGGGGAGCTCTTGATCAGTGAGGTGATGGAGAATGGCTCTCGTCACACACTCCAAATAGGATCGGATTACCTGGGAGTAAAAGGTGAGAACTGCATGGAGCCTGGTTAAAAAAAGAAAAAAAAAAAAACGTAATGGTGGTGGTATCAAATCAGACACTAACAAGAAATAAGCTCAGTTTCAGCTGGCCTATTTGAAGGAGATTGATCAAGCATGAATCTGTAGAGCTTGTGTTTGCTGTTAATGGGGAGGACAGTGAAGGGCTTGTCCTCCAGTGGCATCTCGTTGGCATGTCGTTAACCTCCCAGGGTTCAGGGAAGCAGAGGCTGAAGAGCAGTGTGGAAGGAGCCTGTGGAGAGCTGGATCCCAGCTGGAGGACAAGGTAACAAAACAGCAGCACAGAAAAAAGGAGGGGTAGACGATGGAGTGAAGGAGTTAAAAAAAAACACATGCTGGGTCTCAGAGCACACCACCCGGGTTCAACATTATACCTTTAAGTGGCTCAAATTAGATGTTTGAATAATGTGGAAATGCATCCAATTCCTGCTTCACTAAACTAACCACTTATTAAGTCAAAACACCACATATCCAGTAGTTATTATTTAGATGTCCTCATAAAACCATTCAATCGGAAAGTAGCCACCAGTAAGCATTTCTTAAAACTTCATTTTAGTTATTTGCCTCTTTGTGTTCATGCTTGTTTCACATTCTGGTCTCTCCATAGCCTTTTCTGAGATTTTTAAAATATTTTACATCTTGTTTGCCTCATTTTTTTCTTAATTCACAGTTTCATTCATTTAGTTATTGGTTTTTTTTTTATCACTGCACTTTATAATGATTCCTTTATTAAATCTCAAAGTACAGTAAGGATCCACTTAACCTTACGTTTTACAGTAAAAAACTGAAAAGAAAAGCTCAATATATTTCAATGTAAAATATTGTTTTATTAAACCATGCAAAAACATACATTAGAAAGCAACCAAGTAATAAACTTCTTTGGTTATAATGGCACGAAAAGAAAAGCTGCCATTAAAAAGTTTTTAGATTCAGAGGAGTTGGAGTAATTACATGGCTCAACTTCACAGAACAAAAATGCTTGAAGAGATTCAGAGACGGAGCTTGGTAACTCTCCCAAGTCTTGTGATCAAGCACTGCTGGTGACACTACAACCTTCTACCCCCTCTTTTCAGAAATGCACTTTTCCTCCCCCCTTTTCTTTTCTACAGTAGTAATGCCCCCTCACTATTTTTCTACATCTTATCCTTTTTAATTAGAAAGCAAATTCTGCAGCCTGGAGAGACCTAATCCTCTACTGCCCAACAATGCACAGAGTGGCTTTGAACAGCCGACCTACAACCTCAACCCCCAACGCTTTAAATCCCCCCACACAACCCCCAGCCTGATGGACCTTCAAGGGAGCAGGGGGCTTGTTCTCCTCAGAACATTATTACTGAAGAAATCAAGTGCTACAGTATTTTGTAAAACTGCATATTTGCATTTTAGCAATGTTAACAGTAATTAACAAACTGAGTGACACGCGTGACAGAAACTACACAAGAGTATGCAAACTTGCACTGTCTCCCCCGGAAGAGATATAGCAGCAGCTGATTTGCATATATATTAATGTCCATTATTGTATAGATTAGATCCCATTAGTTGAGCTGATTCTGGGAGAAGGTGCAGTCACTAAGATGCTAAAAGTCCTGTTATTATGTTAAAATCATATTTAAATAGTTGGAGGGCAAGAAATGAGAAGGGGGTTACGGCACTGATACAAGGTTAAGAGCGATAAGGCGCCCTGGCCATCTCAACAATATGTTCCGATTAGAAAAGAAAACATAAAACTGAACATAATTAACTGCACATTTCACAATTCGTGTCGACAATCCCAGCTTTTCCTAGCTCATTCAAAGTGTGGACAGGGAATCAGCACACAGTCTGTTGAAAGTCGTTCCCAGATTAATTCCTGGCTCCTTCGCACAGTTAACACCTAGGAGATGAAACCTGTGTGTCTCCAGTGATATCTCACATAATGAAGGCTCGATCCATGCTAAAGCTGCAGTATGTAATTTCTATAAATATATGTTAAAACTGTCACTGTGTATGTTACAGTACAATATGAGACAAACAAGAAGGCGAGCTCCTCTGGCTCCTCTCTGTGATCCTAATGACATGAATACACAGCTCCCCATCAAAAACAACCAATCAGAGCCAGGAGGAGGGTCTTAGCGCTGTCAATCATATGTGCTGCCTACATGCTACACCACACATAGTTAATAACTGATGACTTAATTGAATGCCACTCTTATAGTTGAGTTCACAATTATTCACACCTCAGGCAGATTTAGATTGAGTTAATTTACATTCTTATCAACAAAGACATTGAGTATAGCAAAATGGGACAGATATCTCCTGGAAGATAAAAAAACAATGTAAAGGACAAAATAAATAACAACAATGTTGAAAATTATTTACACCCTTCTCAATATTCAGTGTTTGTTTTCTAGACTATTTTTTACGGACCATATTTTTTGTATGTTTCCACAGGAATTATGATGATTTATTAAGTAAAATAAGCTCCAAGTCTTTGAGATTGGAGGGTGTCTTTGGCATCACCCTAATCTTTAGTTCCGCAGATTCCCTATCATATTCAAGTGAGAACTCTTGTTGGACAACTCCAAAATGTTCATTTTACTTCCAGTAACAAAGCACATAATGATAAGAGTAAAAAATGATTTTAAACCCAAATCAGTCAAGGGAATGGATAATTTTCGACTCAGTATTATACAGTATTACTTAAAAAGAAGCTACGGTAAAGCAAGTTTGAACGTCCTCAGCTGGATATTAAATGAGTTCAGATTCCCAAGACAACATTTCCATCTTATTTTCAAATTTTCTACTTAGAAACTTTCCCTTTTTGGTTTAACAGCTTTGTCTTCAATAAGAACCACAGGAAGCAACTTTCTTAGACCAAATTAATAATTGCTAAGCTAGTTAACACTGATAGAGATGCCCTGGGCAGGTTAAGGTTTTGTGTTTGAGTGGGCTGGGAGTGCTGGGAGACAACATACTCACTCTTTGACTTACTCAAAGCTTCAAGGATCTTTCTTACATCCTGTCTCAATTAGTTACTCACGCTGTCGCTCAATCTGTCACGTCATAGATGTCAAACCGACACAACGATGGAGGGGGCCGTCTGGATGAGCACACAACAAGTCTCCGTGTAAGCATCCAACATGAGAGCGTGGGTCACACTCTGTGCCTAAGGCCACCGTATCCCTTTCTCACTCAAGGGTTCAATTTTCAGAAAGCTACTTAGGTATTATTCTAATCCCCACCCAGCTTCACCCCCTAAGGCCAGAACCTTGGTTTGCCATGTTGGACCCCTGATCAGACGCTGTGTTAAAGTTTGAAGCGACACTCTTCAGTTTTAGTTTGGTAGATTTGAAATGTTCCAGCTCGTTTCAGCAATGCAGTGGTCTAGTGCTGCTGCCAGACTCCTTAGGAAAAGGCTGAGCTGCCAGCTAGTATCTGATGAATTTTATGCCAACATATTAATAAAACATCATCGCCTAATTTGCTATAACAACACATTAGCATGACAAAATCAATGACTTTGATTTGGTATTCATGTATTTCTCTGAACATATTTGTAGATCTCTTGGGCCTGATTTCTGCTTGGAGGTGGTGTATCTGGAGGCTGCTGCAGATGGGGGAGCAGGGGAGGTTATAGTAAGGACTGCTGGGAGTTGTGGGGACGGACGCCTCTGTGGGGTTTTTTTTCTCTCTTGTACAGTTTTGTTGTCTAAATGTTTTACAAACTTAATTGGCATCCCCAAGGGGAGGCAGCCAGCTGTCTGCCTGATGGCCGGGGTTTTTAATTTGGAGCATGGCGAAGGTTAGCTGAACACGGAAGCTAGCAGAGCGGAGCAGGACGTGCACATGTCCTGATCAAGCCCAGTGTTTGCTTGTTTTTCCCTCGTTCAACAACAGCTTCACAAAACAAGAGTGAAACAGATGCTATCTAACAAGCAGAGAGCACAGAGTATTAGAACTAATATAAATTTTCTTCTTGCAAGTTTTACTGCTTCTTGGTATGCTAAATAAATAAAAAAAACATTTCACAAGTTTTAAAGGTTTTTATTAAGAAAGACTTAATGTTTATCCAAAGTGCCAATGTTATCTCACTGGGATTACATTTCCTGGTTATTTCCCTGAAAGTTTAGTGTTTTGATCCTTGAGGCACTGCATGCTAAATATCTTTTCCCATGATCTCCATCTTGCTAGAACAAGTGTTGTTGATCGCCTGGATTGTTGGGCAAAGTCGTCTTAGCTCCATTTTTTTTTTTTTATTCGTGGCAGCATTTTTAGTAAGTTTGGAGCCACTGACAAGAGGCAACCCTAAACATGAATGATCTTGGGATGCTTCACTATTTGCATGATGCAAAACTCATTGCAGAGTTTACCTTTTCTTTTATAATCGAGGAAATTCTAGCAAAATCATAATCTGTCCTAGAAATTGTTAATGTCTTAACCCTCCTGCTGCTGTTCCTGCATGAGATCTGCACTGGTGGCAATTTAATCTCATTTAATCCTCTTTAAGAGATGAACCTGGAACTTTCTAGACTTTTTTCTTACTTTGTATGAATTGACCCGCTCTCGTTGAAGCTCTTGATTTCTCTAAGAATGGTTGAAAGAAGCAATGTCCTTACCTTGTGAGGCAAAGCTTTGATGTTTTCTTGAAAGAGGAATGCTATCGAGCACCTGCTCCCTTCGGAGTGACATCACCTGTTCTACACTCGCTAAGATTTTTCCCTGAGATGAAATGATGTCATTTTGCGGCGGATCCCAGACATAAAACAAATGAATTTCTAGAGAATATGTTTACTTTCATTAATCTTGCATTTCATCAGATGACTTCTTAAAAGCCTCCTTGGCTCAATGCAAACTGGTACCATAAAAAATGAAGCAGTAAAAATAATTATTTCAGTCTCAAAAGTTTCAAAAGAAGTCTTGATGAGTTTGGGGTAACAAACTTGTGAAAACTAGGATTTAATATAAAGGATGATAGATACATGCCCATGTTGCAATTTTGTCCATTCTTGCTTCCATGTTGTTACTGTAGTCAAATCACTTTGTGCCTACATGCTTAAGCCATGGTGTATTAGTTGGCTTTGCAGTTTGAAGCATTTAAATAAATTATTCACATGCAGGTATATAATTAAACATATCAGTTACAATTTATTTTAATTGTGTTTTATTGTCAGAGTATAGATTATCACAAATTAGAATCACTGATCAAACCAAACCAGCCTCCTGCCGGTAGATATTAACGATTAGTCATGTAACCATATTTCCTTACTGTAGACTATGAGGAGATTTCACAAAATCTCCTCATAGTTTCCTACCTTATCATCAAATAAGGTAGAAAACATTTTCCCGGTATGAAATGTGCCTTGGCCCACATCTCCATGTTGTACCTGAATAGGTTAAGTTCAAAGGAAGGATAAAAGGTGACATGACTAGAACCTGTTCTTGAATAATGACTTAAAATATGACTTAATTTGACTGACAGTGCTTGTGTTTATATTAATTTAACATCGTATAGGTAAGATGTATACCATTCCTTATGCATAGTGAAGCCAGAGTGCATTTCTCCTGTCTGGATGATATTGAGAGAAAAAATCTTCCTCCTGGTGTAGGAGATCAAAGAGCACTTGAGAGGGGAGCAGCACCATTCATTTCCCTTGAAGCCAAACCAGCTTAGCATGTTACAGAGTCAGTGGGACTCCTTTGATAGTAATGTCTCTCCATCATGCTCCATTTGGAGTTTCCATAATCAACTCCTTTACAGAAAAATGATTAGCAGATCTAGGACAGGTGGTTCCTGCAGCAGAGCCATAGTTTTTACATTGTCTTCCACAACATATGTATTGGTTAAGTATCGTTGACGTCTATTGAGAGCCCTGACTGAAACCCTGCGGCATGACACTGATTCTACAAAGCATCATTAGCTACAAAAAAACTCCATCTTTGCTCAAGTCTTGTGTCAAAAATAAACATATTGTTTGTGACCCAAGAAAACAACCTGATGAAGTGCTGCTGTTTTTCATCTTAATGTCAAAATTACATATTTTTCCAGACATATTTACCTTTTCTTCCCTTTTAAGCTATAGGGTTTGGTCCGAATTATCCAAAAATACATACAAGTGGTTCCACATTGTACAAAGTGTGTAATCAGCCTACAAGCACACACCTGCAAACACGAATCCATCCTGGTTTGCGTTCTGCTGTAGTGGTCTACATGGCGGAGTTTGCTCTGGTTTGCTGGTCTAACCTCTTCCAGTGAGCTGTGTCTGTAGGACATGTTGACTCTGCACACATTATCACCAATGCATGGTGGTGCATAGTCATGCAGGATAATTGGGCTACAGTGGTGGCACAACAGCAGGGAGTACAAAAGTTTGCTGGCAGCTCAAGGGTAAATAGGACTTGTCATCCCCACAAAGTGACATTGACAGATGAGGGAATTATAAATGTTTTCTTTAATTCATTAGTTGTAACTGTTCAATGCAGCTTTGAGGCGGCTATGCTCACTTAATGTTTAACTTTAGGTGATCTGAAACTGTTGGTTTCTTCTCCATTAAAAAAAAAAATCAGATGTGACATCTCAGCAGATGTTGTTTTAGGAGCTTACTAACAGTGGCAGCCTCTCTTCTTTAGATGGGATACTCTGGAAAAATGTTGGCTCTGGGCCCATCGGGATTTCTTTTTTCTCAAACAAGAGGCCGGATGTGGAGGATGTAGAGGATCAAGGGATCTGAGGCTTAGTAAGAGCCCTGTATTCATGACGCATAAGTCTGGTGGCTTGAACTGGAGCAAGCATATGCTGAGGTCTTTACTGGTATTCAGGGTGGGACAGTCATTTAGCCATCAAGCTGCCTATTCCTGGGGACTCTCGTCAGACCTGGATGACTTAGTGGTCAAGCCCAGTAAACCAGTGTTCACTGGACTTGACTTGACATGAACAAATGCAACTAGATGAAAATTAAACCACACCGGCAGGTCGGACCATCTTGGAGTTGGTGTAGTTGTTCTAGACTTTTACGGGTTTCAAAATACTCTAGCCGATAAGTGCTGTGAGTGGGCTGTGGACGGTTGCACCACACCCCTGGATGAGGTGCCGACTTTAACGGAGCACGCGGGGCACTGCTGATTATTCAACATGTTTCTCTAATCCCGGCCCTTGTGGTAGGAACCTGCGAAAGAGCCCGGTCTTTGTGTCGGGGGGCTAATCGTGTTTTGGAAACGCCGATTGGGGCTAATCTCCTGGCCTGCCTCTAACGTGGAGCCACTGATATCCTCTGCTGCGATAAATTAAGCTTCTTATTAATCTAATTATGGTACATTCATCCCCACAAACTTTCATGTGACTTGGAAAGCCCCCCATTCACCAGTAACTCCTGCTCCCCCTCCACCCAGCCCTTTCCAAAGGCAGATCTTGAGACTGACTGCCCTCTTTCTCTCTAAGACTGCCTGGTCCAGGCTGGACCAATTAGGAACACTCAGGATTTTGCCTCTAACAAGCATTCAGGCTCCAGTCAGCCTCTTCACACAGACTGGGGTCAGTCTTAGTTTTTCTCCACCTACCCCCGTTGACCCTTTTAAATCTCCACCTGGTTCACTTCATCTGACTTTAACCTTGTTTCCAATAACATTTTCTAGAAGGCACACAATGCCTTCACAAATTATTATTCACACATGCAACACTTTGTAATTTGATACCATTAAATACAATCATCACAGAATCCAATTAAGAATTTTGTGGCAAGACTCAAAAGTCACTATCCACACCAATAATTCAATATCAGATTGAATGGATCCTCTTGGTCTAATCTAACTTAGCTTGACGTAAAGAAGGGCCAATATTTTAGCCTCTATAAATCTGGTGGAGATGTCAGTCAAAGCATTGATGACTGTGGGGCTGAATGCACGCATGCTTCAAAGAATATTGAAAACCACACAACATTTTCCATCCACTTGACAAATGAACTTTTTTTTCGCTGACGTTTGTGATTTTATTGTGACAAAATGAATATCTTTGCAAGGAACTGTATACAAATTTCTATCTTTCGTGTTTTCTACCAATTCTCTTCTGGTACACTTCACTTACACAATGTTGACCTTTCTTTGAGTCCATTTTGATTTGGATTCTTGCCTTTTGCCACTTGCTCAGCTTCCTGTCTCTGTAAGGTGCCAGTGCTTCCTTAACTGTAGTTCCACTCTCCTCAGCCTGATGCTGAGCTCAATGTTTTGGCTCTTTTTCGCAGGGTGCCACGGCCCTGTCTAGTGGGAATCTTAAGATGTGGGAAACTCTCTGCAGGGAAGTGAGAACAGGATGACAGGGCTCATATCTACGAGGACAGTGAACCTGAAGGGAGATAAAAGAAGTTCGCATTTGCCCTTTAGCAGCTGTAATATAACCCCAATCAACCATGCAGCCTCTCTTACCTTTCCCACCCCTGCTGCTGAACTCAGACAACTATCCCCTGCGAGGCAGAGAAGAGTGTTAAACTATTTCTGCTTCTTTTTTTCCCTTTTCACTCAAAGTTGTTAAGAATCTGATCATTTCAGACCATTCTTTGATAACCCTCCAACACTCACCTTCCACAGGTATAATCTGTGTGGCATTAACGTTCTCCTGCTCTCTTGCTGATGCTTTTGAATTGTTCTTTCCTCAAAGCAAAATCTAAAGAGTGAGACAACAGGAAGGCGCTTGCTGCTGTTTGTTCTTAAAAACAAAGGTTCCATGCTGCTATCAAACTCCCATTAGATACAGAGGAATTGAGTGTGCGGTCGTCACCACGCACCAAACGGCGAGGTGATAACACAACGCAGAGGCAGGCCAGGACGCTAATTGCATGCCGAATATTTATAGGGTAGACAATTAGCTGGTGCCTTTTATATGCAAAATAACAACAGCAGCAGTGGCAACAGAGAAAAGGGTGGTGATGAGGGGGGGTAAGTAATTAAGATGCTCAAAACAGGACAGGGACATGCAGTCTGTTGTGCTCTGATTTGTTGCTAACAAACACAATAATTAGCCTGTTATTGGCGGATAATGAAGTTGCCACTGTCCTCTTCCCTCAGTCAAGTGTCATCCTGAGCAAGGACGTTCCCAGTGCTGCTGCTGGGACCCCAAGGACGAAGGCTTGCAGAGGGTAGATGGGTCATGAAGCCTCTCGAGGATCTCGTCAGGGTAATACATCAATCAGGCACAACATTATGACCAAAGACAGGTGAAGTAAAAAAACACTAATTAACTCTTAATATTAAACAAGGGGTATAGATAGAAGGAGGTGCAGTGATACAATCACATGTTCACACAAAGGGCACCCAGTGAACATTTTCCACTGGCATTAATATGCATTTATATAATAAATAAATGCACTTTAATGCAGCCAGAAGCTGATAACTATTGTTAGTCCTGACAGGCATATCAGTGAAGAGGTTAAACAATAAAATGCTGTTAAAGAACATAATAGTGAGTGTTTAGTGCAAGATATTTAGTGAATCGATAACTTTCTGAGCAAACAAGCCATCATTAGATTGAATGCCATACGGCCAAGTCCTGTTCATATCCCTTGAAGATTTAGGATTATAGAAAACCTTTCATGTTTCTTCTCAGTAAAGGTAAAGTTTTAATTTTGGAGAGTTCTGAGTTGAATCTGATGGAGAATATATGGAGGGAGCAAAAGATATAATCACTTAAACCCAGAGTTTTGTCCATTGTTGTGGAAAACTTGCTTAAACTAACAGTTATGCCAAAAAATGTGTTGATTTTGTGAGAATCTCCATGATTGCAGAAAAGCAAAATACTGGAGGGACTGATTCATGTAATTTGCCCTCTGGAGTTTGGAGGGCCACATAAAAAGCTATGATGGTGAGCCAGGTTTGACCCTCAGGCCTTGAGTTTGACACATGTGTCCCTAATTGTCTGCTAGAGTGTATTCTGTGACAGATTAAAGCTGTTTTGGCAGCAAAAGAGAAACCCATATGGTATTTGGCAGGTGGTTATAATGTTATGCCTGATCAGCGTTCAATAGTCCGCTTGTAAAAACAAGAAATGTTCTTAATGCTGTACTTTGGCTTGCATAGAGCGTCATTGTGAAAGTGAAACATCTTAATATGTGTGTACATGTGTATGTTAGAGTTTGTGTGTGCAGCAGCTTCATAAGATTGTGACCGCAGGTTCACTGAATCAACAATGCTGTCTGGCAGGATTAGGTGCAGCCAGAGCTGATTTGATATTTGTGGCTGATAGTGCTTGTAAGCACGCCTTTGTTCCCTCCCATTGTGGCTAAGATTAAGGCAAACCTCCTCTTCATCATCGTGCTTCGGTGTAGTAATAACCTAGATAAAGCTACTCTTTGATTGAATCATTGCTGCGTGTGTTCAGGACCTCCTCGCTCTCGCCTCCCCCCGTCAGCTGTCGCTCGCGCGTCATATTCCTCTCTTCTAACTCCATCGCTGTTATTCATCTCGGTTTTTAATTTCCCAACTTTTCATCTCTAATACCTGTCACTCACTGCTTGTCGCTAATGAGAACGTTTGTGCTTGTTGATTTCTGCTAATGAAGTCTAAAATGTGGATGGTTTTATTGATTTCTGCTTGTAAAGGTTGAAACTTTTGAAATAACTTTTAACAAAGTCTAATAATCACATCAGTTCTTTAAAAATCTTAGTTTGAATACATAATTGAACATATTTTAGCAGAATGTTTACTGAGTTGTTTGGAAGTTTACATTTGTTAAAAGTGGTTGTCACAATAAGAAACATTTCATTGCTCAGATTTCAATTATAGATGGTCTTGAAAGTCTATTACGCTAGAGTTTTCACATGGCAATTAATTCTTTATTTGTCCATTTTAATATTATTATGTTAACTTTACAGTAGTTATACAATTTAAATTTTCTCTCAAATTGCTTATATTGTGGTACATTTTTTCGCTAATGACTAACAATGAAAACCTATCTGGGCAATGAAGCACAGATTCCCATTTCAGGATTGAAGTAAAATGTTTTTGGCAAAGCCCATTCTGATTCTTGTGTATTTGGGATGATGACATCACAACAAGATCAGCTGGAGTAACAAACATTATGTTGCACGAGTGACTTTTAAAAGTTTTGGAGATGTTATCCCTTTTGGTTAAAGAGACATTTTCTTGTCAAAAACAATGCCTGAGTTCTTTAGGTTTTGGTTAATAGCAAAATTTAAATGACAAATCTGTTCCTTGATAAGAAAAACTGGGTTTTCTGTGGCAATCATTACTTTTTTTCACTTTTCACTCTGGATTTGTATATTTAAAAGGTCAATGATGTCCATCTCTGACCCAATTATTGTCATATGACTTACACAACCCCCTGTGCCAGTTACCGACTAATCTTTGGATTCCTGCAGTCAACTAAGCTAGAGTCAGAGTTGGAGTTTAGCTTTACTAAGAAAACCATTTTGCAACTTGTATTTTTGTGACATTAAACTTTTAGACCCAAACTATTTTACCCAACCGGATTTAAAGCTGCTGTCCTTTCAGCAGAACATTAGGAGGCTCCACAGAGCCAAATTAACACGAAGGACCGCTACAGCACTCATGCAATGTTACAACAACTTTAAACCCCTGGATTATTTTTGCAGGACTCCGTTCCAGGTAGCTCCACTTGGCAGCTGTGTCTGTGATTTTGCTTTAATTGCTAGCTTTAACAATTTCACTTCAGCAGAACTTACAGAAAAGTTGCATTTTAGCTTATCTTTGCTCCCCTAATAAGTGTTGTCACATGATAAAAGACACTCCAAGTCATTGATGTGATTGTGAAACTTTCCTCCCTCTCTTGCTTCCTCACAGAGGTTAATCTCTACAGGTATTTCTCCTCGGCTGCTGTTATTAGAATGCAGCAAATGCTCTCTATTGATGCATGTCAGAGCCCCATTCTTTCATCTCCAACATTTAATTTACCGTCCTGTTGTGCCACTAATCCTGTGTCGTGCCATTTCCTCCGCTCCTCAGATTGCTCTCTCAAAGCCCTCTCTTCGCCAGATAAAGAGGAAGGTAATCGCCATTGTCTGGCTACAGATACACCAGTGCCGGCTCCCCTTCTTTCTGCGGCTCCAAATTAAAGGGCCGTCCTGCCCTTGCGCCCCCTTAATCACTGCCCTCGTCTCTCTGTGCGAGTGGACCCCAGGGCTGTTGCACTTTCATCCGCAAATAGGCTTTGAGTGAGAACCACCCAGGGCTGGCCTCCTTGCAGGAGATCCCCACAGTCTCTGCTCTCTTTTGCTCCTCTCTGGCTGTTCCTGCAGGAGTTTCACTTTCAGCGTCACACACTTTATCTTCCTCAGGCCCCCTCTGATTACTGAACATGGAGAGCATTCTGGTTTAGCTTCTGTTGCACCCATGTGAATTTCCCTCTCTCTCCTCAGGAGGTCTGACCCACAAGTCTGTAGAAGAACTTCAAAGTGGAAGAGCATAGATTCATTTCTAATATTTCAAAACCGTAGGTAGAAACATCCGCAGTGACATTTTTCTTTGATTACTGCACCACTATCTAGTCCAAGCCTCGACTTGCTTAGTTCATAATATACAATGCAGTTTTGTTATTATCTGTTTTTGCTCTTTTGTCGCACAAAAATGTTTGAAATCATCATATAGTTTTAAAAATGTATACAAAATTAATGAGATTAAATACAAAAAGCAGTTTTCAAGTAAATGTTTAATTTATTAGATTAAAAAACAGTTCAAACCAAGCTGATCCATTGTGAAATGTAAACACCACCTCACAGCCCTTCTGCTAACTATAATAGAAAAAAGATTACTGCCAGGCATTTGGATTTATAACATCACTAAAATAGAACCTGTCTAGCAACATGAAGTAGGTCTATAATCAAGATCTTATGGCCCTATTTGCAGTCATTTCAGAACAAATGAGAAACAAAGTCACCAAAAGATATCCGAAAGTGTTGGTTTACCAAAAAGTATTTCAGTATCTTGAGGTTGCAAAAGAAACAAGAACATCTAAAGCAATGCATAAAAATATGAAATACCTTTTCACATTTTCCAAGAAAACATCTTCATGCCAAAGACTTATGGGAAAATATTCTGAGAACTTTTTAGAGAAGGTGTGTCCTGTTAGCTTTAGCTTAATGCTGACAAAGCATTTCACAAAAGAACATTATGATGACCTGGATCTGCATCTTCAAAACCAGGATGACTTGAACTGTGGATTTTGATCTCTATGAGGAACTCTTGAATAAGAATCTAGTCATGATTTCTTCATCTTAAGCTGAAGCATCAGCATGATAATCAGCAGCACAGTCATCAATTGGTCCATTTCTAAATGGCTAAACAACAAAAAACAGGATTATTTTTTTCTGGTCTGGTATATAATCCAAACCATATGCTGTGGTAAAACAATCCTGCAAAGAAACTGAGTAAAACTTCCTCCACAGCTTTGTTATTGCAAACACTTAGAAGGTGGCACAACCAATAATTAGGTAAAAAAAAAGGTGATTACTTTTTACAAAGTGTTTACATTGTATAGCTTTTTCTACTTCATACAACAAACAAATTACTTTTGCATTAAAACTGATTATTTGTGTCTTATTTCAACATTATACTGGTGATCTGGTACTTATAAATCAATCCAAATGTTAAAATATCAGAAATCTGTAAGAGAGAAAAAAAAAAGCTTCCCATTTTCTAGATGAGACGCAACAACCAAAACAACAGAAACCGGAGAAAAACACAGCTGACTAGCTGGGTCAAACTCCAGCCTACAGATTCACAATGTCAGCTAAGAACATTTGACTAATTTCTGTTAATTGTGGCTCTCACTTCCCTCCGCTGCACTGACATAGCGCCGGAGGGCTCAGCCAAATCATCGCCATTATGACATTAGCAGCAGCTTATCCAGTGCTAAGAGCTTGAGCTGATACTAACACTAAGGAGTTTAGGATGCTAAGATGAGGACGAGCAATCGGGGTAGCCGCCGTAAGACTGACGGACAACAATGAAAGTTTACAATAAGGATCAAAAGATCCTCGCAGGGTTAAGGGAACTATCCAATTAAGAAAAGGCGCGCCTTTCAATGTGTGTGTGGAAGAAAAGAGACAGGGCTTGAGCTAATGCTGAAAAGCTGCTTCCCCATTTACTAATAACAAGCCGTTTAGCTTGAACGATTGCTGCCATGTACAAAGCAATTTGTTATATGGTTAGCTTCTTTGCCCTGGACTTATTAAGGGGATTCTCGTTGACTTGGGTGAAGTGGCTCTTCATAATTAGAGGGGAAACAGTACGGTGCGTTTATGAAACAAGAGAGGACAGTAACCAGGGGTTCTGAGTTCTTTGGGAAGATGATTTCTTGTGATGTGTCCCAGGTTAATAATCCTTAAACAAGAGATTTTGGTTCTCCTTTTAGCCAGCTGTGGGGCTCTGGCAGGAAAACGCCTCTGGGCTTAATTAGATCTGTCTGGGGAAGAGAAGGGCTTTAGGTGTAGCTAATTCAGATCATAGTGTGGCTGAAACATTTTAAAGTGCCTTTCAAAAGTATTCATACCTCCTTTATTGTACATGCAGTTGTGCTACAAGAAACTTCAAAGTATTTCATGGGAATTGTACATGACAGATCAACACAAAGTAGCAGATAATTGTGATGGGGAAGCCACAGTTTCTAACATTTTCTGCAAATATCCATTTGAAAAGTGTGGTGTGTATTTGTATTTAACTCTCACAAATTAAAACCTTGTAGAATCTGCAATTACAGCTGCAAGACCTTTGGGATAAATTTACAGAAAGAGACAAAATATTTTCCTCATTGTTCTTTGTGAAACAGGTTAAGCTCAGATTGGGTGAAGACTATCTGAGAGCATCAAGCCATGCAGCCACAGACTCTCAGTTGGATTTAGGTGTGGGCTGTGATCCAGCGATTCTAACACACAGACATGTTTTGATCTTAATTCATACTTCTCTCGCTGTATATCTAGAATTGTTATGCTGCTGAAAGGTTTTGAATCATTTGGATCTCTCCAGCTTCCATGTTGAAGAAAAACGTCCCCACAGAATGATGCTGCCTCCACCATGTTTCACTGAAGAGATGATATAAAGTGTTATTTTCCCTTCCATGCAGGTCAAAAAGTTCAACATTTGTTGTGTCCCCTTCATGGCTAACGACAATCTCCACTCTTCCATTATGACCTATTCAGCGTTGAGTGAATAGACAAATAGTTGTTCAAGTTCTCTCACCCAAGCTGTGGATATCCAGAGCTCCTTCAGACATACTTTCTAATTAGGTGACTTCTAAAACCAATTACTCTCACTCAATTTTATTTAGATAAATCAATGTAAATGAGCTAAAACCACCTTAAAGTCATGCTCTTCCCTGTATATCACATAAACTCCTGCTAAAATCCTTCAGGTTTCTGTTTGAAAATGAAATAACGTGGAAAAGTCCAAGAGGTTTGAATACTTTTGCAAGGCTCTGCAAACTGTTGTACCAGTCGAGCCCAAAAAGAGCACGACAATGCTAGCAAGAAGATATCCTTCATGGATGAACGTCGTAATGACGAGATCTAGGTTCATAGATCGTCCAGTTGCCTAAATTATCTCCACATTTCAATTATATCAAGCGCTATCTGACAGGTGACGAGTTTAAAATATCACTGGGGCATTTTCAGTAACCACCAAATGTACGTCATTGCATCTGCCTGTTCCTGGACCTGAAAGAGTCAGGGACACTTCACAATAAAAGTGGAACTGACTCAAACTGGAGCCCCCTTGTGTCTTCTGGCGGCTAAAATGGTTGGAGGCCAAACTGCTGCTCCTATAATCCCTCCTATTGACAAGGGCTGCTCTGTTCTCTGCCTGATCTGTTTGGTCTGTCAAGTTAAGGGAGCCCCTCTCCTGCTTGTGGCAGCCAAATCTATGAACAAACCCTCCACCGATCTCTGAGCCTTACCCTCATATTGTCTTTGGTCTACCATCATCCCTGCTGCTTCAGTGGGAATCATTATTTAATTGGCCACCACAACAAAATGGACACGTTTTTGTTCTGTATTGAAATTGCACAGATTATGTTTCAAATCACATGCACATGAGGTTTCAGGGGTTGCTCTGCGATAAAATTAGATCCTCCCTTCATATTTTGAAAACATGCCTCACACAAGAATAAAGGTATGAATAGAGCTGTAGAGAAAGACATCTGATATTTCCCTGGAGCTTTTCAACCCTTTTCATCCCTTCATTCTTTTTTGTTAGGACCAAACCCTTCTTGCTGTGACTTTGTTTAACCGCAGTTATTTCATCTCTTGTTCATTTTGGCGAAGGGTGAAAAGGGAAGGGAGCTTTTTAAATGTTGCGCATAGCTGTGATAACCGGGCTCTCGCTCTCTGTTTCCCCTCTGACCAGCAGTCACCTTTAAATCTGCCTTTTCATATTCCTCTCAAAGAGTCTTGTCTATTGAAAAGGCGTCTGCCAAACCGGATTTTTGGACAAACAAGAGAAGGACGGAATAGGAGAGAAGGGATACCTAGAAAAGGCAAATAACCACTGAAAAGAAATAAAAATACTTCCTCCTCTGTCTAATTCAGCTTCTCGTTTCCATTGTTAGACTTGGTTTAAAAGTAAATCTGGCCCTTTTAATTGCTAATTGGTAGGTGAGAGTAAAAATTTATTCTTAAAATATTCACCACACAATGACATTTTATGACTTTTGTAAATCTAGTTCCTTGAAAATATATTTCAAATTCTTCATATTTTGTTACATCCCAATGATTAACTTTATTGCGTTTTATTGGGATTTAATGAAATAGATCAGCAACAAAAAAATAGAGCATAAG